ATATTAGAATTTTATATAAATATAATAATATTTAAGTATTATTATTCATGCTTGTATTATAATAATTTATAATTTATCTCACATAGATATTATTTAAATGTCTAACTATATTATCAATTGCCACTATGCCGCAGTTACAATATGTTTGGGATCTATACGCAAGATTATAACAAGAAGTCTAATCTAACCTTACCTAATCCACTACCACAAAATGATTATAATTTATAAATTAATTTTTTAACTATACATAATATATCATATACAATACCGATACTGGTTATTTTTTATTAAAAGTAACTTTTATTTTTTTAATTTTGTAATAAAAGTAATTACACATTATTTTTTTTAAGTTATCTTAAATTCTAAAATTCTTTAATTTACTTAATGAAACCCCTGTGAAGTCATAAACTATGAAAATTAGTTTTTATCACATTTATATTTCGATTTCAATAATTTGACTGAATATAAATAAAAGGTAACTATAATATTTTTTTTTTTACGAGTGTACGTACAGTGAAAATTTACCCATTATTCGCAGTAAAAGAAATATCAACACACATAAGTATTTTTACAATTTTTCTAGAAACTAAAAACTATTAACCATTATGAGATTAATAAGAATAAAATTGCATCTTCTTTTAAAAACAATATTTTAATTGAAAATTATTATATTAATATTAATGGTTATAAATTAAATCCGTTAAACTTCTATTTTTCTTTTTTTAGTGATCACATTATGATCATAATATTTAATTTGATAATAACAAAAAGTTTTTACTTAATAGATCAATTAATAAAATAATAACAGCAACCATAATATTAAAAATAATCACGATTTGTGGTTAAGAATGTATAATCATGATCATTCAATTTTATCATTTGTATACTTCTGCTTCTTAAAAAAACTTAGTTATCAACAACTATTATTATAGATAATTATAATATTCCTTTCCCCGATTAATAATGATAGTAAATTTACAATAGGTTTCTTAAAGCATAAACGCAATTCGAGGAGGGGGGTCTTGGTGGGACTTAGCATACCTAGTATTTTAATTGAAGTATTAAATTCTTCATCTAATATACATAAAATAAACATTATTTGAAGAAATAATTTTCTTAAGTTTAAATATCAATTCATTATTTGTTTGTTTTCCATAATAGATATCGGATCCATGTACGGAATAATAAGTGATAAGTTATAACATTTAAATTTTTCTAGAATAAAGTTGATAGTAAAGTATTTTTAGTACTGGTTTTTGTTTCTTCATCACTCCAAGACATTACATAAAATACTTATATTTCAATTCCCACTTTTGCTATTCATAAATCATAATACTATTGCTAATTGGTATACGAATTTAATAATTCATAAGTTATAACACGATCTGTAATCGAAAAAACTTGTTTTTAGTTTTGTGATACTATAATTTATAATTTAAAATATTTTATAACCAATGCCCTGCAACATGTAAAAGATTATTCTCAGCAATATAGAATATTAAAAAATGGTTTCGAACTTCCATGAGTCAAGATAGATTTACTAATTTATCAATCATTAATGCTGAACGAGATTTTTCAAATAAATAAATAGTCCAATGAACTAGTCCTGAATAAATATGCAATTTCAAATCAATGGTTACAATTATAAAATGTATTTAAGTATCTAAATGTTGTTATTTGTTTTATTAAAATATTTTTCATATTAAAAATAGATGTATTATAATACATTAATTTATTAAATGTTGGAGAGTGGGTGAGTAAAAAAATATATTTAGTAATATAATATTGCATAAATAAATATAATATATAGATATTTAAATAAGTAGTGTGGAAAGCATGTTTCATTTAAATATGTAAAGTCTCTCCGAGTCAAAAACTGAAAAAGCACCTATGCCTTAAAGTAAGCTAAAAATTATACAATTTAAAAGATAGAAGGAGGCCTTTAAAACCTAAGGACTGAGTAAGGTACACATCTTGCACACCCGGTAGTTGCGGCACTAAATAGTCAATCTACGTTATACAATAACATTTGTTTTAAATCTAATGTTCAGTGACAAGGATTATCCTAATAAGTGCGTTTTGAAAAATACTACTTAATCATAAACAATATTTAGGTGTAGCATTATTTAACGAACACCCATTTATAGTTTTTACTAAAGTTTTATCTTTGCATTATAATATATAATTGAATAAATATATTAAAATATTAAAATAATAATAATAATAATAATAATGTGACTATACAATTAATTTAACGAAAAACGATGAGAATAACCCTCATCGAAACTCATTTAGTCGATATGGCGCGTTTATACATGGTTTATGATTATATAATGATTGATTCGCGCACGTTGACACATAATAGGTATTAAATTATTCGCTATAATATTACATAGGGTGTAAATCATCTGTAAATATAAAGGGTTATTTAAACACTGAGCAAAATATGTATGGTAGGAAAAAATTCACATTTTAAAAGCATATTAATTAAAAACTATTAAGAGTTGATAGGTAGATAAAATGATCAATCAACAAATATAAACATAAAAAATTAAATCAGTATAAAATATTAAAGTTAAATGTAAGATATAACTTAAACTTTTCCAAAAGAAAATTTTCAAAATAGCTATTGATTGCATTGTTAAACAATTTATTATCTAATGTACAATATTATATTTATATATGTACTTACTATGTTTTTTGACATATTTTAAAAATGTATATGCATTAGGTAATAAATAAAATATTTTAAGAGACAATGTATTATTATAATAGGTGGTGTACCTACAGTTTTTATAGTTTATACATAATGTTCGCTCTCAAATTCAATGTGCAATTAATTATCTCGACTGCAATTATTATTCACTTTACATAAGTACTTTTATTTATAATGATGATATATAAACTGAACTATTTTATAGAGATTGATCGAAACGAGTTCGAATTATAGTAACCATGGCGATTCAATTTTTTATGAAGATCGTAACATGAATTTCTAATCACTTCATATAAAGCTACAATAGTAATAAATAATAATAATATATTATACCGGTCACCCGGTTCTTTTCGACAAAATAACGTATAAATTATAATCACAGAGCAATGCTTTCCCAACAATCACATTCCCAAAGATCTCAAAAACGCTCATTTCTTTACGTCAAAACACATAAACTACAATAATAATTATGTACATGATATCGGTACGTATTATAATATTATAAGTCACCACGTCATTTCGCAATCGTCGTAGTTTTGAGTAAACGCCCGAGAATGATAATCAATAACGCACATAAATACCTACGTAATATAAGCACGCGAATATTACTGTTATTATAGTACTAGGTCCAGGTAATACAACAGGTGCGACATCAAAGATCAACAATAATCTATAATATTAGTATATTAAATCTGACAGCAAGATTACGCAGTGGCCCTGGGGATTTATGTGTACGATTTCTGAATAATGAATAAATATATCACGAGCTTTTAAAATATCAACCACGTACAGTGTGATATTAAGATAAATAATGGTGTAAATATTGACTATGGCCAAAAAGACAATGCGATTTAAGATTTCCAGGATAACTAGGTATATTACGTATATAGTGGTATAAATTACGACAAACGGCGGTGGGACGAGTACTCTACGGTGAAAACTATATATGGAACCATTAGAGTGCACTTATACTTAATACTTATATAAAAACTCAGTTGTAAACAGTGGTGCCTACGTATCAAGCACTGAAATTCTGCTGGTTCTATACGACACCTGGAACTCATGTACGCTCGTGGGGGAGCCGTTCTGACACATTAAAAATACACAACTCATCACAAAGTCATGTTTTTTATCATTTGTGCTACCGTGATAATGTGTAAAAAAAACGTAAAGTTAGAGGGCCGTTGTATGGAATCGTTCAGCGCTTTGATATTGAAAAATTAAAATCTAATGAAACATCGCCCCAAGCGTCTACGATTAATCGTATTATTATTATATTTTTTTTTTTCGTGGGGGGGGGGGGGGGGAAGTGGTTAAAATTATAGCTACACTGGTTCTCGTGGAAAACTCGTGGGCGCTGCCTAACGCCTTAGTCGGTTAGAATTCGTGGCGCGAAATCGCAATGTGCGAGCATTGCGCTAAACGATATTATAGGAGGTGTACGGATCGTGCTTACGAATTAACGTCGCGTTATCACCGTCGTCGGAACGGACGGAACAGTGCGTGTGATAAAAACTAAAAGCCAGTAAAATACGTGTGACAGACGCAAACAGTGTCCGCCGGACATTCGGCATTCGAGGCAGAACGCGCGTGTCGGACACGCGTCATCATCTGCGGGCGGTCAAGCAATCGCATGTGCCCCTCTGCCGTGCGAAAACGGGGAAAACTCGTTTCGACGACATTTTACAGATAGGTACCTACGTGCGGATTGGCGCGTACGAATCGCGGATGATCTCGATCGCCAGCGGTGTGTATAGATCCGGAAACCTGCGGCGGCGAGCGATCGATCGACGACGACCACCACGGGAGAGAAAACCGGTGGAAAAAAAACGGTCTCTCGGTCGACTGCGTGTGCACGCGGCGTTTCGGTCGGAAAACCGTCGTCCGTCCGACGATGCCCGCTCGGGCGCGACGACGACCGCGTGCAAATCGACGGTTTACAATATTACAAACGCGCCAATACAAAAAACAACGTCGCGCGCTGCATATTTATATATATATATATTTATCTATTTCTATAAATTATATCAAAATACTACGTACCCGTTTACACACACACACATGATATTACACTACAACACAATAATATAGCTACGGTCTCGTGTATAATATTCATAATTATTTATAAACACGCACAAACACATAAATATAAATGCAAACACACACACACATACACATATATATCTAACACTACATTATATTTATATGTATATATATATACATATACATATATTATAAATTACGCACACGTGTATATAATAACACACACACTAATGACGAATACCTGTGCAGTTGTGTATTGTGTACTTTGGTAAAAGGGCACATCGGTCACACGCACGTGAATACACTGACTAATTTTGTAATTGTTGTCGTTTTCGTTGTTATTATTACTATTATTATTATTATTATTATTATTTTTATTATCGTTGTTATTGTTATACTACTAGCGTGCGCCCGAGAAAAGTCGTGTCGTGCTCATGCGGCGGCCGCTGGTCCGGGACTGTGGAAGCTGTGCGAGCAGTCCCGCCGGCAGGTCAGGGGGCTCATTGATTTTCGGCACCCGTTGTAGTCTCCCCGACCCCCCTCCTCCCGCCGCTCCACCGGGGCCACGCGCGCCCGTCACCACGCGCGGGTCACATTGCACCGAAGCAGAACGCTTCACGCCCAACCAATCGCCGAGTGCATCGATTCCGAAAAATACGCCCCGGTGGTGGCATCCATCCCCGGATCGGGGCGGTGTAGGAGGGTTGATCTGTGTGTGTGTGTGTGTATGTGTTTGTGTTCGAGGAGTGTGTGGACTACCCTCGCGCCTTGGACGCGGTGACAACGAGAAGAGAGCGTTGTTGTAGTAATATAAAATAATTATCGTTCCGGGAGGGGACTGTAGCAGGCAGATATCACCAAGTCGACCGGGAAATGAAAACAATATGGCACGCTGGCTGCTGAAAACAATATTGTTTCGCCGGCCGTTTATTTATAGCCGACTAATGTTCCCGGTCGGTGAAGACCGCGTGTCATTTTAATGCCAAACATTATCTAAACTTACCAATAATATTATATCGTTATGAAACACATTTTTATTGTTGTTATAAAGGCACATTTTCACTAAGGCTTTATATACAACCATATGACTGTCTTCAATCGATTATGCACATTTTCGCTATGATACTTTTGGAAAGTCATCAAGTTAAAAATATATCACCTATTACAGTAGTTAAGGCAGTGTAACTGCCTAATATTTATATCATCATCATTTTTACGTGCCCATACGACGCAAGACATTAAAGTAGTGAAATAGCCTATACTAAACGCCGTCATTGGTTTCGCTATTGAATACTGTCTACTGTCGGCTACAACGGGCACGTAATGATACGATACAGGTGTTGAGATGTATGAACAGTTTGAAAGCAATCAACGTCCATGCATTTTTGGTTTAATGTGTACTCTGATTTACATTAACTATTAAAATTGTATTTAATAAGCCTAACTACGTAAGCAATAAAATATATTCGTCAGACAAGTTTATTTAATATTACCAGTAAAAGTAATCAAACACAAATCAATACATTGAAAATTATAAAAAATGTTTACAACACTAAATGTTGATAAAAAAAATACTAGACCAAGGAATAAATAATGTTACCAAGTAGAGAAGAATAATTTATAGTTTATTTCATATAATAGGTATGTTATATTATATATGGTTAATTAATTTTTGAATCAATTAACAACAACCGTTTGGAAATAAATTAAATCGTTAAAAGTAACTTTTGGCATGTAAGTTATAAGATATAGAATATAGATAGGTATGGTTTTTCATCAATACTTAAATATTCAATACAAAATAAATAGGATATACATACTAGATCCATACATAAAGTTCATCAAGTTTAGTTAAGTAAATTACACACATACATTATAAAGGTTTGACTATTATTAATTTTAAAAACATAGATAGATACCAAAATATACGTGTATGTGATTATAGTTTTAATGTTTTATTATACTTTTCGGCCAAGTTTATTTTTAAAAACAATGAAAGTATACTACATAGTACTTTGGATTATTCATACCTACATTGTTATTATTCAACGGTGCTAAACATTGATATTATTAAATTGTTTTAGGTATCTAAAAAATTATTCTAAACTATATTCTAATATTATTTGTGTATACGTTTTGATTATTATAACTAATATTAATATTTAAGGATTGAGAGGCTTATCCTCATATCCTAAAACCATAACTTGTTGAATTTTATTCTTAATCCATTGCAATGTTGTTTTATCGTTGTATTCAATACATTTTTCATCTCCGCGGAAAAAATAACTCGAATGATGTTCATCCTATACAAAAAATAAAATTAAAATAAGTGTTTTAATCTTTAAAATCATTATTTTTAAATTTACTCACTTGCCGAACTTTGAAAATTAATTTATTTTCTTCAATTGTTGGTACATCTATAATGTTATCAATATAAATACTCCATTCAATTTCCCATGGTCCTTTAGTGCGGTATTTTTCAGCTAAAATTACTCGTCTAAAATAATGTTTAAATTAATAAAACCATTTTTAATATTAAATTATACGTACCTTAATGTAATAAGTAAGACTTTTTTACCCTCTGGAAGGAAACTCACGTGCGCCCAATAACCATCATTTGATAAAGAACGACTCAACATTTTAAACAAATGTAGACCCACAGCTTCATACATAGAATAGCTTTTCATTCCCTAAAACATTTATTTTACTTTTTAAATATTTTATTAGAAATAATTTACACAACAAACCATTGGATTGACATATCTTGGAATTCGTGTACGCATTACTACTTCTTCTCCCGATTCAATAATTCTAAAATCATACAATATGTTTTTTCAATAAATTTGTAAATAATTTTATATATAATACCTTTTAACTCCATCATAAGCCATTGACACCTTGTCGGAAACGTTTGATTTAGACAGGACTGCCAGTAAGTTCCGACCGGGTCCTCTAAAGAACGAATCTGCAGCATTCTCATCCTCTCCACCTTAATATTTTATGTTAAATGAATTATCATAATGCAATCTATATAAACAATACGAATTCTACTCACCAATATGAGGTCTTTGTATTGCACCAGACATAGATAACAAAACAGACATTTCTGTTCCTTTGTGAGCAGAAATCATTCGTTCTGGCAATGGTTCCTCAAAATTCCATTTATCTTCACTTTCAATAGATGTTAATGAATCTTGTTCTTCACTCAAAAAAGGCCCTAAGTATTCCTGTAAAAATAAAAGTTTAATAATACAATAATTTGATATTTAGTGTTAAAGAATGAATAATATTCTGCTTACATCAATATTTGGTTCTTCAATTTGAATTTCATTAATTTCGTAAATGTTTTCTAATACATCCAAATTAAAAATAGAAACATGACATTGTTTTAATAACTGCCGTGCGTAATATTTCAATGCATAACTAAACATTGAATTAAATGAATCTTTATAAATTCCTTTTCGTGTTAAGCTATTCACACTAAAATATTTAAACGGAGTATTAATATAATTTACAACAAACAATTACCAAATCATACTTGAGATTTACGGCTTTTATATCACTTAAACGGTTCGAATGGCCATCAAGTATATACAAAAGAGCATCTGTCGCAAAACTATTGGAGCTCTTCAACGGGCTGAGTTCGGGTACTTTAGCCGAAAAACTTAACTGTACATTAAATGGAGAACAATGGAAATATTCAATGAACACCTTTCCAGATTTTCTACCCTAAAATATATTCATTAATTTCATTGATAATATCATAAATAATGAGGTAATTACATATTATCCAGACTACCAATATCAATTTTTTTTTTTTTAATCTTAAATACGTTGATGATTTAGCCATTAGTAATATGTGCATTTTATTATTTATATTTAAGTTAATAATTGTTGAGCTATTATAGTTACATACTAAAAGCTAATAAAAAAAAAAAAAATAAAAAAAAATTATTTATATTTTTTTTTTTCAGTTGACTTATACAATTCGATTTTATTAAAAAATGAACTTAAGTTGTGAAGGATTGATCTTAGAACTTGGTAAATTTGTTCTGATATGTGGAATTAATTGTGGTAATATGGAATTTTCGACAATCGATGGTTAACATTTAGAAGAACGCCGCATGAGTCACATAATGTAGATTTGCTTTAACTAATCGAGAAGCTATGCTTTATATGTGTACATCTAATCTGAAGTCGGGATATTATGGTTTTTACTTTTCTAATAAATTCAGGATTATGCCAAAGATTGATACTTTTTATTTTTTATTAAGTTTGGTGTTAACATTTCGCAAGTACGAGTGCCATTCATTGTTAATGTGTAAGTAAATTGCGTTAGTTGCATCTAAGTATAGTAAGTATATTATGGTGTTTAAAATTGGCAATGATATTGAAATAATTACATTATGTGCTTCTTTGCCAGCTCTTTTTCAATAGAGAATTTATTGGACTATGGTGTTTTATGTATTACTTAAAATAACCATTATTTTGCATAATTTTCAAAATAAATAAAAATACATGGATACAATTTATTGGCACAGGCAAACAGAGTTGAAAATAATATAGTTATTACTGCAGGGCTAGGATAGTATAGGATTTTGCATTTTTTTTTTTTTTTACAGAATATAGCTTTTCAAGCATAAAATGTGATTTGGTCATCTACGAGTTAAAATATATAGTTTTTATTTTGCATATTTTTGTACTTTTTTGAATTTAGGGTCATTTTTAGCATTTTTAGATCATTTTTTCAATTTTACGGTCATTTTTTTATACTTTATTGAAATCTGGGTTATATTATTATTAATTTTTAATTTTTTTAAATTTTAAATGATCGTTATTGATTGTTATAAGTTATTGTACAAACATATAAAGATACAACATTAAAATAAAATCATAAACATATTTTCTAAAAATATTTATTACTTCAAAATACCAATCGTTTATATGTATAATATAAAATATACTCGTTAGATTAACAGCGCAATAATCGATAATAATGTTCGATTACGTGTTATCTTCATCAATTTATTATTAAATTTAACGTGCCTATATCTGTTCATTATACGTATGATATTCGCTATTATACCAGAAGATAAATTTATTTGTATACTTATAAATAATAATTATTATTTATTAATTTATTAATATAATTATATTTTTTTCGATCATTTTATGAGATCATTTTTTCTTATTGAGTCATTTTTTTTTTTTTTGATCATTTTTTTAGTTTTTATTAGGTAATTTTTTTAGGTTTTTTAGGTCATTAAAATCCTAGCCCTAGTTATTATAGTTATTACTTTGAATTAATATCACAAATTGACAACAAAATCTCATCAATGTGAAAAAAATCAATTTAATTAAATCTTATGAGAGACAAAAAATATTTCTGATAAACAAACCATAATAATTATTAACTAGGTAAGAATTGAATGATATAACAA